ATAATAATAATTTGCCCGGTTTGATGTGATATGAGCTAACCGATCGTTAGATTAAATCACCGTTGGTAGCGCGATTTATTGTAATGTTGTTTTTCCTCAGTTGGTCAGAACAAAAGTGGCAGACTTGTTACTCGTTCAGATGACAATATCTGGTGAAAATGTTATTTGAGTCATACATTCCAAGACGTAGGCTAGAATCTGTGATTCTGAAGTACAGTATCCACACATACTCCACAAAACATTAGATTAATCGGCGCTCGAGCCGTGCCGCTGCACAACCCACGTAAAGAAGATAATTCCGCAAATAACTGCAATTGCAGGTTTCAAACAGAGATGGCGACAAAGAGGCTAAAGTTACGGACTGCAGCTTTAAATATGAGAAAATTTGATATGTATTGTACTTATAAATCTAAATAATCAATATGGAAGCCCTAAATATTAGAGGATAAAAGTAACAACATAGTCCAAACTATATTTATTTTCAGAAATAATAGCACACTAAAACTTACACATTGAAATATTTCTATGCAACTCAATTGCACATTAGGTATTTTTTATTTTTATTCAAACATATATTTAATTAACCGCTCCTCTCTAGTGTTTAATATACTTTTCCTGAAGTCAATGCAATGTAAGTATCATATTGATCAAGCTCTTTTATTTGCTGTGTTTCCGCGGTTGAAACACTGATTGTGTGATTATATGAGACATGATATATTTCGGTGAGCTGTACTGCACCTTCTAATGTTCATTCATGTTTATGGCATGCTGTATTTCATGTTTATGTTTCATTCGTGTTTGATGCACTCAGCGCTGAACTGAGATGCTGCTGCGAACCGTCACGGCATGTTTAAGAGCATCAAAACAGCATTTATTTGAATTTTTAAATGAACGTCATTTAAAAGCCTTCCTATCGGGCGTAACAAAGCTCTTTGTGATTATTAGATGGGAGGCACATTACAAATAGTTTTTTACTGTTCTTCAATATTTAATTTGTTTGAATAAATCTGTCAAGTTTTTATGACAGACGCCATTTAAATGTTATATTTCAAAAAAACAGATTAGAGTAGGAATATAATGATGTAATTGTAAAGTTAGTATTATAACTTTACAATAAAAACTTCATTGAGTGTGTTTGTATACAAATCAGTTACATTTTAACCTTAAAGCTGCAGTCTGTAACTTTTTTAAAAATTATTATTTTTTGGTTAAAAATGATCAGAAATCAATATTTGAACATGTACGTAACCCTCATTTTGTTGGCAGATTGTAATCCAGAAAGGATTGTGTTTATGAAACACATGTGACTGAAATTAAATTATATTCCAGTTTTAAATGTGCATCTGATTACAGATAGTGGGATTACACAAGTTTTGTATTTTAAAGAGAACCAGTTTGAAGGAAGAATATTTAACTTTTTAGGTTAAAAATTCCTTAATATGAAATTCGAATGGTATGAAGATTAGAGATTAGACTGTACAGAAATTGAGATCTACACACTATATACACATAGTCACGCAATGCTGGTGTTGTTAACATTAACAATTTGAGAACAAAGTATAACAATAATAATAATTTGCCCGGTTTGATGTGATATGAGCTAACCGATCGTTAGATTAAATCACCGTTGGTAGCGCGATTTATTGTAATGTTGTTTTTCCTCAGTTGGTCAGAGCAAAAGTGGCAGACTTGTTACTCGTTCAGATGACAATATCTGGTGAAAATGTTATTTGAGTCATACATTCCAAGACGTAGGCTAGAATCTGTGATTCTGAAGTACAGTATCCACACATACTCCACAAAACATTAGATTAATCGGCGCTCGAGCCGTGCCGCTGCACAACCCACGTAAAGAAGATAATTCCGCAAATAACTGCAATTGCAGGTTTCAAACAGAGATGGCGACAAAGAGGCTAAAGTTACGGACTGCAGCTTTAAATATGAGAAAATTTGATATGTATTGTACTTATAAATCTAAATAATCAATATGGAAGCCCTAAATATTAGAGGATAAAAGTAACAACATAGTCCAAACTATATTTATTTTCAGAAATAATAGCACACTAAAACTTACACATTGAAATATTTCTATGCAACTCAATTGCACATTAGGTATTTTTTATTTTTATTCAAACATATATTTAATTAACCGCTCCTCTCTAGTGTTTAATATACTTTTCCTGAAGTCAATGCAATGTAAGTATCATATTGATCAAGCTCTTTTATTTGCTGTGTTTCCGCGGTTGAAACACTGATTGTGTGATTATATGAGACATGATATATTTCGGTGAGCTGTACTGCACCTTCTAATGTTCATTCATGTTTATGGCATGCTGTATTTCATGTTTATGTTTCATTCGTGTTTGATGCACTCAGCGCTGAACTGAGATGCTGCTGCGAACCGTCACGGCATGTTTAAGAGCATCAAAACAGCATTTATTTGAATTTTTAAATGAACGTCATTTAAAAGCCTTCCTATCGGGCGTAACAAAGCTCTTTGTGATTATTAGATGGGAGGCACATTACAAATAGTGTTTGGGGAAGGGAAAATCATGACCTGCATCACAGTGAGATACTGCTTCGGTAGTGTTTAACCCAGAATATTTAATTTAAGAAATCAAACACTCGTCAGATCCACACGTGATGCCATTAATGACATCAACACAAGCGGTTCATGCCGAGGAGATGAAACGCAACGGAGGAGCTCCAGAGTCGTTAAATGAGTTTGTGTGTGTAGAGCAAAGGAGCAGTGCTCTATCCAAACTTTCCGTGGGTTGCACATGTGCTGAGGGTGGAGTGTGTGAGAGACAAACATTCACACTCACTCGTGTGTGTTTGTCTCAAACACCAGTGTTTGCAGGCTTTTATCTGGGCCGTTTTGGACCCACAAACCTTTGCACCCATGCTGGGCGCTGCTGGACTCTGATTGGTCGGGGAGGAAGGAACGGCCACGCCCTCTGAAGAGGATACAGCTGGCCAATCAGAGCGTCTGTGGGCGGGTCAGGCGTGTGTGTCAGGATCTGTGAGAGCTGAGAGTAATGCAGGAGGGTTTCGTCACTCTTTCACATGCTCCAATTCTGCAGTTGACCAATGATAAACACATTTAAAGTTATTTTAAGGGTTGCAAAAATGTGGAAAATTTCCAGTAAATTTTGGAAACTTTCCAGGATTTTTTGGAATATTCCAGTGATTTTTTTTTGGGAACGTTTCCGGAAATTTTCCACCCCTTTGCAATCCTAGTTCTTTTAAAGAAGGTCCGTTCACTCAAAGTTTTAGTTGACAATAACAACACTGGCAGGTCTGAAGGGGTTGAATAATATTGGTCTTTAAATGCAAAATATTTCAAGTGTGCTTGCAATAGTTCCACTTTAGCTCAATCAGATATACTAAGCATATCTTTAATTGTACTTCAGCACAATTAAAATGCATTACGCACAAAATTAGCAGACTTGAAGTATACCAGTTTAGAATGAAAATGTATTTGTAGTATACTTGGCTTGAAATAAATTGCAAACACTTGGCTTGATGTTTGCAAAGCTGATTTGTAATGATTTGGGACAGTAATAATTGGGGACACAGAAATGAATGTATTGAGACGCTGTAAATGAGTGTTACTGCTGCTGGATCCTGAAATGTCGCTCGTTAATGTTCTTGAGGTTGACGAGGAGATCTCAGAGCTATAAATACCAGGCCGTATCTCTCTCTCTCTCTCTCTCTCTCTCTCCGTCTCTCCGTTCTTTTCCCGCTGCCATGTAGGGAAGTGATGCTGGAGGAGGAATGCACACTTGCACACAGAACAATATTTCTATTACCATGGCTTGTGCGCATCAAGATTGAGTTCTCATGCGCATTAAAATCATTTCTATCAAACCAGCACTTAAACAGCTGCCTCTGGTATCTGTAACTTACTGTAGCCTATAAATTCATAATACTGATATCACCATCTGTTAGAATTAGATTAGTGTTACTGTACAGCAATAAATATAATTTTTAATTATGGTATTATATGTGCAGACTTTCTAGGACACACACGTATTTAGAGAGATTATATGAACAGACTGATTAGCATGAAAATTGAATGTTTACTACTGTCCTTTTGGATTATTGACACTATTTTCCTAATTTGATTCTGTAAAGCTGCTTTAACACGATCTGTATTGTTAAAAGCGCTATATAAATAAAGGTGACTTGACTTGGCATTTAGCATGGTCTGTGGTGGAAAAAAGTGTCAGGGCAAAAAAAAGTTAATGTTAAGTGATTTAAAATGTAGAGAAAATATTGCTCTGTTTCACGAAAGCGGTTCTAAACAAAGCCATGTTGTGCGTCTCTGCACACAGAATGAATTTGAATGCGTAAGAACAAAATTACGCCTTTTCAGCATAGCCTATTTTATTTGAAGTGCATCCTATGTATTCCGATGCAAGCATTAATGTCTCTGGGCATTTGTTATATCATCTCAATATGAGAATATAATTTTTTTTGTATAATATCTTGAGTGCATAAAGTGTGTAAAAAAAAAAAAAATGGCTATTTACTTAATACAAAAAATGTAATTATTATTTTTTTCCCCAGAGTGAAATATAATTACTGCATGTGTTTTTGTGGGATTCGCATGAATCAGTCGCTGCAGCAACACTGTTTGCATTAACGTGATGCTTAACCCTCATCAGGATGGTGTTTGTAGCCGGTCAGAAACTCGTCTGCTGTGCTGGTTTGTGTGTCGGAGGCCCGTGCGCTGAATTATGCACGAGGCCTCATTAATATTGAACAGCTGCCTGAGTCCGCTTGTCACCAGAAAGAGAGAAATGTAATATCTCTGGCTTTTAGCGGCGTCATCTGTGAAAGGAATGCATTACCGTCTCTCTCTCTCCATTCCAGTTGATTTCACTTTTCCTCTGTTCTCGCTCTCATGGCGGTCGCTCTTTTAAGTGAGCTGTTTTTCTTGTCTTGGGCCGACCGGTCGATTAACCCTGGTCTCTCTGTCTGTCTCTGATCTGCAGGGTTCACAGGACACGATGGGAGCTTTGGAGGGCGTCATGGCTCCGTTCTCCTCCTTCCCTCCTCCTCCTCCTCCTCCTCCTCCTCAGAACGGCCTGGTGCTGGAGTTTGGGGGCGGCAGCATTTACTCCGCAGGGGGGCAAACGGAGGCCCCGGCAGGAGCCAGCAGCACCTCCTCCTCTAACCCCAGCGCTCAAGTAAGTGCTAAAGCTCCTCGAGCAGATGGTGATGTCTGAGCGCTCGCGCCATTTGAGCAGCTGGAACAACAAACGTGTCGAACGACTTCCGGTCACTCCGCTCCGCGTGAATCATCTCAAGACACTGTGATTTGTATCTTCACTCTTTTGTGGAGTCGTAAAACCTGTCTCTAGGGCTGGGCGATTTTTATTTTATTTCATATTAATCAATTAATTTGAGTTGAATGTATTTTTCAGAAATCGAGGAATCACGATATATTGACCAAACATTAGAATTGGACACTATGACAGTGTGCCCATGATAACAGAACGATTAACCGCTGCATGTGACGCACTCGTATCGCTAGATGCCGTTCACACAGAATGTGCTTTTGTGATGATAAAGACGCGACGCGGCAGTGGAAGAGCAAACACATGCAAGAAGATGCGAGTCAACTTCTTTTAACTTGAGCGCTGTGTTTTTAGAAAGCTGTTTCATAAGAGACGAGCGCAACAGTCAGACATTCATGACTGCATAGAGAAACAATGGAAAAGCAGCGCAATCCAACAAAAACCCTGTAACTGTCTGATATTTCATGTGTGCATCACGGTGACGGGCTTAAAGCTGCTGTTCATTGTTTTTACACAACATCTATAGTTAATAATACTCTGCTGGTGTTATACCTTCAGTCATTCTGAAATTGAATTACCTTGATTTTTAAAAAATTATTTCTGAACATTTAATGTGTGTAAGACAAGTTGTAGTTCATGCGTCTTTTCTGCGAAGATATTTAACAAGTGATTTGTTGAACATATACTTCATGTGTGCTGCACTTGGAATAGAATTTTCTTTAACTAGCGGGTTAATTAAGAAAAAGCTACTCTATCAGTCAAACGTTCTGAAAAAAATAGAGATTTAATTTTTTTGCCATATGTCCCAGCTCTAGCTGCCTCACTCTCTCTCACTTTCTCTCTCGTCTCTCTCTCTCGTCTCTCTCTCTCTCTCTCTTTCTCTCTCTCTTCTCTCAGCTGTCAGACAGATCTACTCAGGCAGAAGTTCAGTGTGTTTCTGTTGGCGCTGCGGGCAGCAACGAGTCCTCCGAGGCCAAAGGAACCCCGAAACGGCTCCACGTTTCCAACATCCCCTTCCGCTTCAGAGACCCAGACCTGCGGCAGATGTTCGGGGTACTACAGGCTTCATAGGCCTCAGGGTTTATTCCTCAGATGATTGTAGAAACGGTGACAAACTGTGACGTGTTTAAGGGCCAATTCTGCCCCCTGGTGTCCGAGATTGTAACGACACCTTAAAGCGACTGTTGTAAATGCAGCTCTTCTGTAATGATCAGTTTGTAGGCATTACACAAACAGCCGTGGGTTTGTTTATGTTGAGCATTCTCTCTCTCTGTGTGTGTGTGTGTGTGTGTGTGTGTGTGTGTGTTTTTTAGCAATTTGGAAAGATTCTGGATGTGGAGATCATTTTCAATGAGAGGGGCTCAAAGGTAAGAAATCATTTTAAAATCATGCATTTGATTAAATGTTCTTGTTAGACTAAAGTAACAGTTCACCCCCAAAAAACATTGATCATGTAATGACTGCTTCAGTGTGACAGCAGATGTTTAGCAGATCGCTCTGACCGATCGCTCTATGTATCGTTTGCGATAATGTCTTAACTGTTGTTTTAACGATGTGCGTTTTGACATTATCGAGAATATCGCACAAGTCAAACAAAACACAGCTACAGAGCGCGCGCATACATTACGTGATGAAGTCTAGTAGTTTAGTATTCAACGATTTATGTTTAAATGATCAAAACATTATGCATTTGTAACTGCAGGTTAATTGCATTTGTGTGTAAATAAATCTAAATGGCATTTCAGACGCAGCCTTCGTGTTTCCTCTGCACTGCAAAGATGAATTTCGTTGATACTGATTTCATTTGTTTGGTCACAGCCCAAATGTCTTATTATTCTAATCGACTGATTGAACGTAAGAATTTGACTTAAAGGATGATGCACAGAAAAAATGGCTTTGGAAATGTAAAAATGCCCAAAAAGGTAAAAATCTATTTAAACTTATTGGAAAAGATTGATTTCTATCAGTGTGAACTGACCACCACACAGAATATATTGTGGGATCTTGACAAACTTTCTGGAGCGTTTTGGGGTGAATTGTTCCTTTAAGCTGGGTGAGTTTCGGAGGTCCGACGCTTCTTGTGTGTTCCTCTCTGTCGTGGTCCAGGGCTTTGGTTTTGTGACGTTTGAGGGCAGTGCAGATGCAGAGAAAGCACGAGAGCGTCTCCACGGGACCATCGTGGAGGGACGGAAGATCGAGGTGAGTCTGTCTTTCTCCTTCTGATGTTCCCATTTCACTCCTTTACTGACCAAACATGTCCTGGAACTGCTTAAGATGCTCAGCTGTGTGTGTTGCATTATGGGAAGTGTGTGTGTGTGTGTGAGCTTAGCAATGCATGGTTGCATCTCTACTGCAGTCCACTTCAGATTCTGTGAGTTTTTCTGTTTCTCGGCTGTTTTTTGGATTGGTTGTTGTCTGGCTGAGTGTCGGTTATTAACAGCATGCGGTTATTTTCCCTTTTTTAAGTTCATGATCTGATTTGTACTGAGCATGCTCACAGTTAGCCAATCACATGCGTGCGTTTGATGCTGTTTCTGTTTCTTCTGGTTTGTATGGCTTTTTTGTTTGTAAAACATTTGCTTGTATTCTTCCGATACATGAGGACTGACGATTCGGAATGCTTTCACAACTTTGGTGTTGTACCTTTATTACGGCATTCGTGTGCATACTGTGAGAAAACGGCTCACTTTCAGATGCTTGTGTACTCTTTGTTTTTAGTGCATTTGTAGATTGTTCTGTGAATCTGGGAGATGAGAAGAAGCTTGTTGCTGGCCGTGTGTGTGTATGTGTTTTTTCTGAGAGAGAGAGAGAGAGAGTGTGTGTGTGTGTGTGTGTGTGTGTGTGTGTGTGTGTGTGTGTGAGAGGGAGAGGGGGTGTGTGGGGGGGTGTGTGTGTGTGTGTGTGGGTGTGTGTGTGTGTGTGTGTGTGTGTGAGTGTGTGTGTGTGTGTGTGTGAGAGAGAAAGAGAGTGTGTGTGAGTGAGAGAGTGTGTGTGAGAGAGTGTGTGTGTGTTTTTTCTGAGAGAGTGAGTGTGTGTGTGTGTGTGAGAGA